GGCATGCGACTTGGCTTGGATGCATGACGAAAGTAGGCAGCGAACACCAGGTCACCGACGAGTTCAAGGAGTTCTTCAAGACCGAGCTGTTGTTCTTGAAGGAGAAGGGGGGGCTCCCGTGGGTGTCAACGTCTCGCCCCTGGGCGTGGCGCTACGGTCCCAGCCAGTTCCCGATGCCAGGAGTGGGGGCGCTGACTCAAGCAAAGTCGAATGACATGTACTTGCAGCTGATGAAGGCGAAGGTGGTGTTGGGCTGCGGCGTGTCCATCGAGGACCTCGCGGCGTTCCTCGAGTCCCCCCAGGGTGTGAAGGGCTTGAAGGGCCATGGCATTCTCGTCAAGGTCAAGTTGGACGAAGTTGTTTTCGTGCCGTGCGGTTGGCTGGTGCGCCGCTGCGTCGCCCGTCCACCGAACCCGACCAGGCCAAGTTTGCGTCGGAGACGTTCGGTTCCATTTGGTCCATGGCCCTCTTCTCGGCGGCCTGGGCGAAGGACGTCGGCGACCTGCGCTGCAAGGCCATCTCAAAGCTCAGCGTGGACAGGCTGCCCAAGTCTGCGCCGAACAGCTCCCTTTGGGAGGCGCGCCGCGCCACCTTCGCCAAGTTTCTTGAGCAGGTGGGGCAGTGAGCGTCGCACGGCAGAGGCCGATGACGTTCGTTTTTTTCAATGCCAGCGTCCTAGCCGAAAGGGTAAGCGCGATCGAATGATGATGATGATGATGGAGCCTCCGCCTCGTCCTACTCCTCCTCCTTCTCCTCCCCCTCCTCCTCCACCCCCTTCCACCCGCTCCCCCTCCCCCTCCCCCCCCCTCCTCCTCCTCCCCCTCCCTCTCCTTCTCCTCTTCGCAAGCGTTGCGCAGGAGGCCGGGGGGGGGGGGGTGGGGAGGAGGGGAAAGAGAAAGATGAGAAGAAGGATGATGAGGCGGAAAAGGAGGAGGGAGGAGGCGGAGGAGGAGGAGGAGGAAGAGGGGGAGGAGGGGGAGGAGGAGGAGGAGGCGCGCAGCACAAAGAAATAATCCCCAGCACAGAAGGTCGGATGCACACCGCCTCTCGAGCTGTGGGCGCGTTTGGCGTCGACTCAGTCTCTAGCCGCCCTGGTCGCCCGAGCAGGGCGAATCGCGTGTTTGGTCCAGTCTCTCAAGAAAGCAACTCTTTCAACTTGACGTCAGGTCAGTTGGCTCATGCCCTCTTTTGCTGCTGTGACGCCAGTCATTTCTTCTCCGCTAGGGAGAGGCCAGCAGCGCGTTCGAGGGCCTCCAATTGTGACAAATCGCGGTTCCAAGGCCGGTTTGAGACAGCACCCGCAAGACGAAAGAGGACCCCCATTGAGGCCCAAGTAGACCCCCAAGGGGCCCCAATGACATCAACACTCAGACTCACATGAGAAGGTTGTGCGGGGGTGCCCAAGGATCCCCAAGGGCTGCCGGGGCCCCCTGAGGACCCCCGAGGATATCAGCACTAAGACTTAACTTGGATCGTCGTTGTTATTATTGTTACCGTTGAAAGCCGCCCTCGCCATCGCCGTTAGAAACATCAACACCACCACAATCACCATCATCGTCCGTATTGGCATCAGCATTATCATGATTGTGAGATGTCCTAATGGGTGTGGTTGGGCATGCTCGCTGGACTGCGGCTCGTGTATCGGGCAGTCTGTGACCTCAAGACAGCGCCGATGGAACGTCGCAAATGCGTCGCCTCCCCTGCGATGATGAGGAGGAGGGGGGGGAATGAGGAGGGGGAGGATGAGGGGGAGGAGGAGGAGGAGGAGGGGGGGGAGGGAGGAGGAGGGAGGAGGATGGAGTGGAGGAAGGGAACGAGGGGGGAGGAGGAGACGGACCGAGACTCGTGTTCTTCTTCGTGCAGTAGTGTTCGGGCTTGGCCGTGCGGGGCCCGATTTCTTTCTTAGTGCGGCCAGAGGGCCGAACGTCGAGCCACAGGGCTCGCGTGTGCGCACCCGCTTGGCCAGACAGTGCCTGACTCGAGTTGCGCGAGGTCGTGAGCCACTCTTGCTCCATCGCGCCTCGCATTCCGTTACCCCCCACTCTCCACCTCCACTCGTCGCTCCCCCTTGCTTGTTGTATCTCTTTTGGTTTCGAGAGCTGCCTGCCTCTTTGCACTGGGAGGGGTCCGTGCGATGGCAGGCAAGAAAGCTTCGTGGATCTGCACGCTGGGCGATGTCTGGGTGGATGAGGGGGCCGGGAACGAGCCTCAGCGGAGAGAACGCAGTCCTGAGAGTTGGACCGTGATGCGGTTATGCACTCCTCGCAAAGAGCCCGTGCCCGGCGGTGCACGCGGCCGTTTCTCGGACCCTAATATCATGATTGACCCCGAGTTCGACATAATCGCCGCAACCCGCAAGCTCCCGAGGAACAGGTATAAGATCCATTTTTTCGGCACGTGGCTCCCCAGTAAGAGAATGAGGCGGTCTTCCCAATCGATGCCCGCGCAGCCTGCCTCCTCCTCCCGTTCGTTGCCGCCGCCAGTTACGCCGACAAAAAAA